GGCTTGGAATCGGAGGCCGAGAGCCTGGAGACTAACAGCTGCTCGGAAGAGGAGCTCAGCAGCCCGGGTCGCGGAGGAGGAGGGGGCGGCCGGCTCCTGCTGTCGCCCCGCAGGCCGGGGAGGACCCCACGGAAACGAGCGACGCGCTGCTAGTCCTGGAGGGCTTGGAATCGGAGGCCGAGAGCCTGGAGACTAACAGCTGCTCGGAAGAGGAGCTCAGCAGCCCGGGTCGCGGAGGAGGAGGGGGCGGCCGGCTTCTGCTGCAGCCCCCAGGCCCTGAATTACCTCCGGTGCCCTTCCCGCTGCAGGACTTGGTCCCTCTGGGGCGCCTGAGTAGAGGGGAGCAGCAGCAGCAGCAGCAGCAACCTCCCCCGCCCCCGCCTCCTCCCGGGCCCCTCCGGCCACTCGCGGGTCCTTCTCGGAAGGGCTCCTTCAAAATCCGCCTCAGTCGCCTCTTTCGCACCAAGAGCTGCAACGGTGGCTCCGGCGGTGGGGATGGGACCGGCAAGAGGCCTTCTGGAGAGCTGGCTGCTTCAGCTGCGAGCCTGACAGACATGGGAGGTTCTGCGGGCCGGGAGCTGGACGCGGGGAGGTGAGACCGGAGGGGGGCTGGCCGACAAACTTCCTTTTCTTGTTAGGTTTCCCTTTTTATCTATTGCTACCGCGATCCTGACAGTTCTTAAGATAGGGTCTTCAGGAGGAGGCAGAGACTTGGTACCAAAGGTGATAACATCTCGCATAAGGTCAGAGCTAATTGTGGAAACAGCTTTCACTCTTAAAGAGTGCACACTCCATGACACTTCTGAGCTGGTTTGCATCTCTTGTTGGAAGATGGTTTCAGACCATCCCCCCATCCCCACCCTGGCATAGCTTTTTAAGTTTTTCCAAGGCGGCTGTGTGCCATTATCCCTGGAAGGGAGATTGCTGGAAATGTTTGGCCTTTGGGGCAAAAAGCTGGTGTTGCATCTTGACCGCCTTGCTTATTCTGTGTAGCAGCACCGCACCCCCCTTCACTCTCATGGATGCAAATGACAGGAGAATCTTCAAATGCAGTTGTAGGCCAGCAATCAATTGGACATCTGTTCAAAGTTTTAATGTTTTCCTGGTTGTTCCCTTAGATGAACTTGGCATATCAAATTTGGGTGCTGACCACTGTCTGTGAGAATAGAAAATAGACTGGGCACAGTGGCTCACACCTGTAATCCCAGCACTTTGGAGGCCGGGGATGGCAGATAACCTGAGCTCAGGAGTTTGAGACCAGCTTGGGCAACATGCGAAACCCCATCTCTACAAAAAAAAAAAAAAAAATCCCTTATTTCTACAAAAAATAAATAAAAAATTAGCCGGGAGTGGTCTCAGCTACTTGGGAGGCTGAGGGAGGAGGATCACTGGAGCCCAGGAGGTGGAGGTTGCAGTGAATAGTGATCATGCCACTGTACTCCAGTTTGCGTGACAGAGTGAGAGCCTGTCTCGAGAAAATAGTTCTGTGCTCTCTCAAGGCCATTTGAGAATTCTAACTACCAGTAAGACATAGACAAGGTAGAGACAGGTACATGAGTTCTAGGCCAGTTGATGAAAATTCCAAACGTAGACATTGAGTTTTTTTCCTGCATTTCTGAGGAGTGGACTGATCTTTGGCATCCAGTGTTAGATCTGTAGCGTTGGTTTACAAAACTGTCAACTTTGGTGTTAGTGAAATGAGTTACCTTGTGGTAACTGCCATTGTGGTTTGTACTTCTTTGAGCGGGTTCTCAGAAAGATTGGAATTGGTTTTGTTGTGGTTTACGTGATGGATTCTTGAGACATACTGGCAGCCATAAACCAAAGCTAAAGAATAGGTATAAATTGATAACCTTACCGTGAACTAGGATCACTTGGGGAGCTTTTTGAAAAGCCTAAGAGTTTGAATTTTTTAAAAGCTCCCCAGTTGATCCTGACTGGGAACCACTCATTCATGGACTTCTCTTTTCAAGGGAACTTGGGTACTCCAAGAAGAAAATGTTGGGTGGATTTGGCTTTCTTGCCCTTTCTGAACAGCTGTGCCATGGACTCGTCTTGGAGATCAGGCCAAATCCAAACTTTCTGAAGAAATCAGTGTGTTGCCCCTTTAGGTAGGCCAGTGTTTCTGCCTTTGCCTCCTAGTGAATTCATGCTGGGAGTTCAGATCTTGGTGTGTGGCTGCTGAAACAGCTTTTTTGTGGTAGGCTCTGTATTCAATGCTCCACTTACCAGCACAGATGAAATTTTCATCAGATGCAGGGGAGGGCGGGATTAAAGCTATGGGTAATGACACAGGATAGGTTGCTAATTTTCTTGTGGTTTGTCTTGCCTTTGTTCCACGTTGACCAGGAGTTCATCTGAGATTCCAGAGATGCCAAATACGAGGTGTGGCGTGAAATTAGCTGCTGCGTCTAACAGATTAGGAAGTGGAAAAGGCATATAACATTATACGGTTTTTTGCCTTTGGAAGCAGAATTTAATGGTCATTGGCTGCTCTGCCACCAACCCTCACACTAAGCACAATACAGATTTCTGCCGCAGAGCAAATTGGGCTGTAGCTTTGCAAAGAAGCTTAGTTCAGGGCACTGGAGAATTACATTTTTTGGTCCAAGGGCTTTTTCTGATGAATTGGAGAAGAGCTAGGTATTTGTGTATAAACTTTTAGTTGACTGCTGTTTGGAGGCAGCATGCTGTATAGAGAATGTGAAAGTCTAGATTCCATGTAAACTCCAACATCAGCTGGGAGATGACCAAATTTGTTGTCTTCATGCTTCCCTTTTTCCCCTATCTGTAAAATGGGTGAGTGTTGACTGTCTTGTTCCTGTCCTTATAAGAATAGATTGTTGAGAAGAAATCTAGATGGAATAGTTTGTGCTTTTTAGAAGATAAGTAATAAGACTGAGCTGGTAAATTTTTTAATGCTTAGGATTTGGTGCTGCTTGTGAGCTTTTCCACAGCTTACTATGTGCCAGTCTTGCTGGCAGCCTCGCAGCTGTGAGAAACTTGGTGAGTCTGGCCAGGGTAGTTGTGATTTCTGTGGATCTGCACCTCCTAAGTCCGCAATAGTGGGAGGATGAGGTTGGATTTTTAGCTTTTCTCTTGTTTTGATTGGTAGGACCTGGAAGTGGTGAGAAATTTCAGTCTTTTGCCAAAGGGTATATGCCTTTGTCCTCATTGTTGATTGGAGTTAATTATGGGCTTCTACAGTCTTTGCTGTACAATTTGGGACTTTTACAGTAACCTCTGGGCATAATTCCCTTTGCTATTCTCAACATCTGCCTTCCTACAATCATTTTAGAAGGTTTAACAATTCCCACATTTTAGCACTAAGCAAAACTTCCTTTTAGTTGCTTTTGAGTCTAGTAAGTGGACCTACATGGATATATTGTCTTCAGTGTAGTATGAGTTAGTTTAGAGATTTGTTTTTGTTTTGTTTTTTGTTTTGAGGTGGAGTCTTGCTCTGTGGCCCAGGCTGGAGTGCAGTGGTGCAATCTTGGCTTACTGCAACCTCCGCCTCCTGGGTTCAAGCGATTCTCCTGCGTCAGCCTCTCCAGTGGCTGGGATTATAGGGGCACACCATCATGCCCGGCTAATTTTTTAATTTTTAATTTTTAGTAGAGCTGGAGTTTTGCCATGTTGGCCAGACTGGTCCCGAACTCCTGACCTCAGGTGATCTGCCTGCCTTGGCCTCTCAAAGTGCTGGGATTACAGGCATGAGCCACCACCCCCGGGCCAACTTAGATAACTCTTTTTAAGCGAGGTAAGAAATGGGTTCACCAATTGGGTGTGGTAGTGCGCACCTGTAGTCCCAATACTTGGAAGGCAGAGGCAGGAGGGTTACTTGAGCCCAGGAGTTTAAGGGCACAGTGAGCTATGATGTGCCACTGCACTCCAGCCTGGGCAACAGAGCCAGACTCCATCTCTCTTTTTTTTTTTTTTTTGGGAGACGTAGTCTCGCTCTGTCGTCCATGCTGGAGCGCAATGGCCCAATCTTGGCTCACTACAACCTCCGCCTCTCAGGTTCAAGCAATTCTTCTGCCTCATCCTCCCGAGTAGCTGGGACTACAGATGCATGCCACCACGCCTGGCTAATTTTTTGCATTTTAGTAGAGACTGCATTTCACCGTGTTGCCCAGGCTGGTCTCGAACTCCTGAGCTCAGGCAGTCTGCCCACCTCAGCCTCCCAAAGTGCTGGGATTACAGGCTAGAGCCACCGCGCGCGGCTGACTCCATCTCTTTAAAAAAGAAAGAAAGAAAGAAATGGGCCCAGCAACTAATCAGGTTTCTGTTCTGGGGAACTGGGCTAGGGCTTATAACACACATATGTTGGAATTCAAAGAGCTGGGCTTGATGCCTGTGGTCCTCAGTGTAATCTAGCATTGCTATTTCAGGAAAACCAGTGGAGTTCCCATGTCTGTTTCTCATATGTTGAACTGATTGCCTTCCTTTGGATTTGGTGAGAGATCTAATTTGATCTGACCATTTTGAATCATCATGTAATACACACTTGGTTGGAAATAGGTACCTTGTTCACTTTTCAAGATTAGTTTTTTACCAAGTTAACAAATGAGGCTATTACTGGCCGTCTTCATGGTAGTGAGGTGGAGAAATGGAGGACGGTTCTGTAGTGGTTTCCTATCTATGTATTTGGTGGGGGATGGAAGGATAGAATTCTGGAAAGAGAGGCAGGCTGCTTTGGCATCCATTTGGGGCCCTGCTGTCGTGGACAGACCTGGCAGACGTGAGAAACCTTTTTCACTGTATCCTTGGGTCTTCAGGTCTAAAGGGGTCTTTTTGAGTCATAGCATGACATGCTGAGAGCAAAATGATTTTATGGTGTGTTGAGGAAGTTCTGATTTTATGTTTGGGTTTTGGGTCCACACAATGTTGATCTTTTTAACTATTTTTTCCATGAAGTGGTTGCGGTTGGCAGCTCTCTTTTAGAATGAACTCCTGGGCTTAAAAAAAATCTCTGTCCATTTGAGTCCCGTGCCGTGCTTCTTACTCCTTAACATTCTCTCTGCCAACATCATTTCTAAGGTTTTAGACCTTGGACTGTGCCTCTTGGCTTTTCCCTGGAAGTTCCCTCTATAGGTTCTTTAGTGGGTTTATGATGGAGTTTTGGATCTGACCTTGCTGCACAGATGTCTGTGTATTGGAACTAAAAATGAACACATGGTTTTTGTGCCTGTAGCACATGAACAGACACTGGCTTATGACGTGTTGGAAATGGCACAGGCTGGCTGTCTTGGCACTGTGTGCTTTAGCAGGGGCAGAGGTACATTGGAGCCGTAAAATCTGGTATTTGGACATCCTAATTTGGAAGTTACTTTAGAAAAGGACGTGTAAGTCTTAGGGCATCAGTACAGGGCACTTATGGGCAAATAGGTTATTATTATTTCACTGTTTTTATTTTAGGTTTCAAGGAATTTGAAAACCGGCCAATGGTTACGTCTATGTGTTGTTGTTCTGTCTAATCTAATGCTTTTAACTCCTTTATCCCATAAATCTGTTGTAGTACAGTTAATAATTTGCAGGGTAGAAATGGACAGAGGCATCCTGTTTTTTTGTTACCTACAGCATAGGCAGTAACTTAGCTGACACAAAGGACTGCTAGTCTCAAAGACCTTTGCCTGAGGCCTTCTGCCCTGTCCTTTTATGTCACCTGAAGCACAGCCCACCAAATGCTGTTTTATCCCACCCTACTCCTCCAGTCTTTGTTGCTGCTAAGATGAAAGTGGCCTACTGGCAAAGTTACAGGGGTATAACTTTGCACCCTAATGCTTGTTGAGGTGATCTGGGGAAGAATAAATAGCATGGGAATGTAGTATAGAGGGTTAGTTTAAAATATTATCTGAAATTCCATTATATTGCTCTCCAAAATATAGTGTGTCAGCTTAGAATGGCCTTTTATCATTCCAGATGGTTCATGTGTACAAAAGGGGATGTGTAAAGTGTATGTCTTTTAATAATAATAAAATACAAGCATAGGTACCTTCACTAAACTTAACAAATAGAATGTTATCAGTACCTTTGAAGAGTGTTGCTTTCTAATTACATCTTATCCCTCCCCCTGGTAACCACCATCCTCAATTTTATGTTAATCAGTACCTTGCTTTGTTTTTTTTTTTTTTTTTTTTATAGTCATCTAGATTGGTTGTTTCATGAATGACTGCCATTAGAATGCTCTCAGGACGCTTGAGACAGATACTGCTTTGGGTTTGTAGTTAGGCTTGTCTTCCCAAAGAGAGAAAGAAGCATGCCTATTTATTAGTAGCCTTTTAGCCTCCTAGACTTTAGACCTTTTACTTTCCAAGCATCCGGCTATGAAGCCCCCTTATTTGCCAGGAAAAACCATTCTGGCACTCTCGAACAGCTCTCCCTGGATTCAGATGTTTTTCTTTTTCTAGATCCTAGAAACTATGATTTTTCTTCTTCAAAATGCCGGGGGTGGGGGAGAAGATGAGCTGAAGTGAGAAGGCCTCCGCAAGATGTGTGCATTTGGGTCCTGCCGTTCTTCAGTGCTTGGCACTGAAGAGACTCGTCCCCAGCATGGGCAGATGGCAGAGGAATGCAGCTTCCTTTGAAAAGAGGCAAACGGCCAAATGGCTGAGGTGTGAACCTTTTGAAAGGCCAGTGCTTTAGGTTTCTACTTGCTGGGTTTAATGTTGTACCCACAAGTTATCAAATAAAAATCAGCTTGGAAGCTCTTCAGCAGTCCTAAAGTTCATGTCCAGTGGAATTAACATTGCATTCCAGTCCTCTGGATTGTTGGAACTAAGCTGCAGTCATGAGCCACTTTTATGAGCAAAGCAACTGTGTGGCCGTATCTTATTTTTATGTAGCCACCTCTCCTGTGGGTGCTGTGGGTGGAATATTCATAGTGAGCGTGATCATCAGACCCCTCAAGTACGGAAGAGGTTGCCAAGGGAATGTAAAGCTAGGTCAAGAGAAAGACGGACCAGGGTTTCAGCTCTTTCTGAATAAGATCTTCATGGTATGGTTTTAGAATTTTGTTTGAAGTGAATTCTGAGAAGCTCAGACATCGATGTTAAAACATAAATGCATAAACATCTTCTGAAATCAAATAATTTAAAATAGAATTTCATTTTGGATTTTCTTTGCTTTTGCCCCTCTTTATTGGTGCAATTTATAGTTGAAAAGAGTTTAAGTTCTATTTAGACCTTTGGGTAAGAGTATTTTGGAAGGTGAGCCAGCTACAATGCTAGGAGACAGACACTTAATTCTGGGGTAGGATTTTCTTTAAGTCTGTTTTATTGTTAACAATAAAAAATAAAAAATAAATAAATAATAAATAAATATTTATTATTTATTTATTTATTTATTTATTTTTGAGACAGGGTCTCACTCTGTCACCCAGGCTGGAATGCAGCAGCTCAATCATGACTCACTGCAGCCTTGACCTTCCCAGGTTCAGGTGATCCTCCCACCTCACACTCCTGAGTAACTGGGACTAGAGGTGTACACCACCACGCCCAGCTAATTTTTGTATTTTTTGTAGAGACAAAGTTTCACCATGTTGCCCAGGCTGGTCATGAATTCCTGGGCTCAAGCATTCTGCCCACCTCAGCCTCCCAAAGTGTTGGGATTACAGGTGTGAGCCATCACACCGGGCCTGAGGTATAATTTATATATTGCAAAATTTACCCTTTTAAGTGTCCAGCTCTATTCATTTTGACAAATTTATATATAGTCATCATAATCTCTACCATAATCAGCATATAGCATATTTCCTTTTTTTTTTTTTTTTGAGATGGAGTCTCACTCTGTCACCCAGGCTGAAGTGCAGTGGCGTGATCTTGGTTCACTGCAACCTTCACCTCCCGGGCTCAAGCAGTTCTCGTACCTCAGCCTCCTGAGTAGCTGGGATTACAGGTGCACGCCACCACACCCAGCTAATTTTTGTATTTTTAGTAGAGACGGGATTTTTCACCATGTTGGCCAGGCTGGTCTCAAACTCCTGACCTTGTGATTTGCCTACCTCGACCTCCCAAAGTGCTGGGATTACAGGTGTGAGCCACCGTGCCCAGCCAGCATATAGCATATTTCTTATTTTTATTTTTTATTTTTATTTTTATTTTTATTTTTTGAGACGGAGTCTCACTCTGTCGCCCAGGCTGGAGTGCAGAGGGGCGATCTCAGCTCACTGCAAGCTCCACCACCCGAGTTCATGCCATTCTCCTGCCTCAGCCTCCCGAGTAGGTGGGATTACAGGCGCCCACCACCGCGCCCGGCTAAGTTTTTGTATTTTTAGTAGAGATGGGGTTTCACCATGTTAGTCAGGATGGTCTTGATCTCCTGACCTTGTGAGACACTGCTCGGCCAGCATATATTATATTTCTATCACCTCGACAAGTTCAGTCATTCTGAGGTGAGTTTTTTGAGTTTAACACACTTCTGACCATAATGTGTTCATTGGAGTCTTTTGAGTTTCTTTCATTTATTGCTGAAAAGCCACTTGAAAGTGTGGTAAGAAGTGATCTTTGGTATATTAACCAAAAGATCTGAGTTTTCAGACTGGTTCCCTGGAACAGCATCAAGAAGTCATGGGGAGGGCCGTGTGAGTGGCAGCTCAGAGAGAGGAATGGGCCCTCTTCTTGGGTGCTAGGCAGAGCCCCTAATCTGAGGAGGCCCACTTAGTAGCTAGCTGATGGCTTTGACTCATGCCTTGGGGCAATTGTGCGGAAATCAGAGGTCTTCAAGGTTGAAGACTGCATGTGCATCCTACAGTGCTATTCTCAGATCAGAATCTGTTCCCTGGTTCACTTTGGAATGACCTATCCTACAGGCAAGCCCAGAGGGAAAATCTGCTCTGAGCTGGTGCCTGTTCAGGTCAAGAGCCTTTTTCTTGGCTCCCAGATGGAAGTCAGCTCTGTATCAGACTTCCTTCCTCTTGAAATGGACTTGCTAATTACCACTCAAGGTGTTTTACTCTTTTAATGTACTGGGTATGGTGAGCTCCAAAGGGATTTCTCATTGCTTTGTAGGCTGGTGAATTCTGTAGCCAAAGCTATTTAAGGAATTGCCTTAATTATTTCCTTCTTCCCCTTTATTTTATGCTTTATTACAAGAGTGTTGCTGACAACGACTAGGGTTTGCTTTATTTTTCAGTGCATCTGGAACTGAGTGTTGTGGTGACTTAAATGCGTATGTGTTCATTTCTCCCCTCTATTCCCTCTCTGCTTTCTCACTCCCTAGGAAACCCAGGTTGACAAGAACTCAAAGTGCCTTTTCTCCAGTCTCCTTCAGCCCCCTGTTCACAGGTAAGGGTAATATCTTTCTGTCTTCTGACATCTGAAAACAGGGGTGTTCTGAGACCTGTTGGGAAACACTTGCAGATGCGTCACAGGGAGCTGTAGGCGTGTCTGCAGTTATTTCCTTCATTCCATGCTTAGTGGGTTTGAGATGAGGCTATTTTTATGGTATGGAATGTGTTCTTGACTTTGGATGCTTTATAGTTGGAGGTAAAGGCTGCTTGTTGGTAATTGGGTGACCTGGGTGGCCCTAGCAGTTATGCAGTGCTTAGCTCAGGGTCATCACATATAAATTAAAACTAGGAATTACAAATTTATGGGCTTACAGTGCATAAAAGACTCTCTAGAAGTCATACAGTTTCTGTCTCTGCTTCCAAGGGAGTTCATGGGTTATCTCATAAAAATGATCCATGATTATCTGGTCTATTTTTGAAGACTTTTTTAGGCAGAGGGGATTACTTGAGCTCTTGTCTTTTTAGGGGCTTGCAGTTCCTGCAGCTGTTAGAGTTCTTTATTGTATCTAATTTAAGTCTGCCCTCTTGCAGCAGGGAACACAGTTGCTAAACTAGGAAGACTGTAGAATCTCCTTTGGATGATGGGTAACTGCCTTCTCATTTCGTAGGGAGCTTTTTCAGAGATGGAGACCTTCTATTATGTCAGTCACATGGGAAGCTCCTGCATGAATAAGCTGTAGAAAAGTGGGGCTTTGCCACACTGCCTGTGTCTCAGAAACTGAGTACTTCTCATTGGTTGTGACTGAGAAGCCTTTAAAAAAAAATCTCAATCTCAAACTCCTTTGGATATAATGTCCCTCAAAAAGGTGATTGGAAGACATATGATTTGGGAATGGATGCTTCCAGGAAAATGTTAAGCAGGCCAATGAGACCTGCAGCTGGGTAGACTGCTGTGAACTGTCAAAACAAGTGAATTGGTACCTGTATAGACATCTACTGTAGTGGAGAAGGAGGTCTCTGTTCTTATCCAAGCCCAGAATTTAAAAATCTTATGTTGTGATAGCATGTCTTTCTAGTTAATAGTTGTTTCCTCCTTAAAGTAAGGAACATGGCTGGTCGCGGTCACAGTGGCTTAGGCTTGTAATCCCAGCACTTTGGGAGGTTGAAGTGAGTGGATCACCTGAGGTCAGGAGTTTCAGACCAGCCTGGCCAACATGGTGTGAAACCCCATCTCTACTAAAAATACAAAAAATTAGCTGAGCATGGTGCCACATACCTTGTAGTCCAGCTACTCGGGAGGCTGAGGCAGGAGAATCGCTTGAACCTGAGAGGCTGAGGTTGCATTGAGCAGAGATTTTGCCACTGCACTCCAGCCTGAGTGATAGAGTGAGACTCCGTCTGAAAAAAAAAGGAACACTACCTACATTTGTGGTTTGAGGTTCAGGTCAGCCTCAGCCCTCTGGAATGACATCCTTTATGTTAAGTGCCCTACCAACAGTCTAGACTGCTCTGGCCTGTCAGGAAACACGCTTGCCTGGCCCCATTGCATTGCTCTGGGCAGCCAGCCTCTCAATTACCAAGCTGTGTGGTGAGTCTGGTACCAGTTTTCTAGAACTTCCACTGATGAGTTTTGTTTGTTTATTTTTGACACAGGGCCTCGTTTTGTCTCCCAGGCTGGAGTGCAGTGGTGCAGTCTCAGCTTACTGCAGCCTCAACTTCCTAGACCCAAATGATCCTCCCTCCTCAGCCTCCAGAATAGCTGGGACTACAGGCATGCACCACCATACCTGACTAATTTTTTTATTTTTGTGGAGATGGGGTCTTACGATGTTGCCCAGGCTGGTCTTGAACTCCTGAGTGCAAGTGATTCGCCTACCTTGGCCTCCCAAAGTGTTGGAATTACAGGCGTGAGCCACTGCACCGGGTCTCTATGACTTTTAGAAGAGCTTTTCTGTTTATCTTAATTAATATTCAAGACCTTTGTAAAAAAAACTGTGTATTTAGGTTCTGAAAATCCAGTTTCTGTCCTTTTGGTAAATATTGGTCACCTCATTTTCTTAATGGGGAAACATTAAAATACTAGCCGAGGGACTCATTCAGCCCTGAATAAAAGAAAGGTGTTGGAAGGAACACCCTAAGGGCTAAATTAGAGAAATTCTGAGTTCTGACCTGTGGATCAGGCTTGCCAAAATAACCCTATTCCTGGCTATCAGCTTGTGTTAATATTAATAAAATACCCTTCATCCTCTCATGACTGAAGTGGAGAGGGAATAGACAGAGTTGGGTGGCAAGGAGTCTTATATATGGCAGGGAACAGAACTGCATGACATGCTGGGAAGAAGAGAGGCCATGTGCCTCCTCCCACCAACTTCCTATGGAGAAGCTGCCTCTTAGATTACTTGACTTTTGTCTGACTGTGAAAGTAGCTAATTTTTAGGAATATAAATTGTACTTTCGGCCTTTGTAGCCTCAGCTATTAAGAACAGATATCTTATTCAGGTAGATTCTCTTATGCGTGAATACTCTGGAAAATTAAGATATGGACTGCCCTCTAGGAAGAAGTTAGGACTAACATTGGGAACTTTATCTGTATTCCACTTACCGTGCAGTTCTTAGGTTTTCTGGCCCTTGCTTTCCATGTCTGTTTGGGCATATAACAAGCCACTTGGCTTGCTTCCTAAGGCAGAAATTGATACACAGTTCTGAAAAAATAAATGGTGTGGGTTCCATTGGATAAAGAAGACCTCTTGTTTGAGGGTACGTTGTAAGTCAGTGACGGAATCAGAATTAGATGGTTTTCCACTGTCAGTCCTATGGTTTTGTCCTTAACAGGGCCAAGGTTTAATGATAGAATTTAAAAATTGACTTCCTGGTGTTGGGGTGATTTCAGCCCTCGGGGCATTAGGTTTTGAGCTTTCTGAGAGCAGCAGACTCCCAGCCTCGCCTGCTTGCCCTTTGCTTCCCTTTGCTTTCTGTGTCAGCTTTGAGCAAGGCGCTTCTGTAACTTGCTTGCTCCATGAATCCCTCAGGTGAAACTGTGTCGCTTGTGGATGTGGACATTTCTCAGCGGGGCCTGACCTCTCCACACCCTCCAACTCCCCCTCCTCCTCCAAGAAGAAGCCTCAGCCTCCTAGGTATAGTTTCTTCCCCTCTCCTCCTTCTTGCCTAGTGGGAGGGTGAGCTCCAGGGACTTGTTCTTTGCTGGGGGCCGACCACGCTTCTGTGTTTCCGATGATGACTTAATTATTTCCTAGCTCTTTCTCAATACCCCGTCATCTCCCTAAGCAATTAAATGGGTCTCACCTGCATGCTGTAATACTGTGCATATATTAATTCGATTTACATTTATCTTGCCTTGAACCCACTGCTATTGGGCTGCATTAGGAATATCCTTACTACCCTGCTTTCCAAAAGCAAACCAGAGTAAGGTGATTGTTGCCCTCTGTCCAAAAAGACTGGGTGAAGGTTGGGCCATCCTGCCCCAGAGGGCAGCCTGATAGTCCTTCTCCCTCTCCTCTGCCTTCACCGTGCTCATTCTGTGCTCACATTTCTGAACCTCTTGCTTTTGTTCTCTCTTCTAGATGATATCAGTGGGATGCTGCCTACATCTGTCCTTGTGGCTCCGATGGGGTCTTCCTTGCAGTCTTTCCCCCTACCTCCGCCTCCTCCACCCCATGCCCCAGGTTAGCTTAGTTTAGAGGCAAGACTTGTAAGAGTTGGGAGTACAGAGTGATACTTTGTACCATAGAAGGATGGGAGAAATCTATTTATGGAAATAATAGCTTAGTATAAAGTTTAACTCTTTTCCCCTTGGCTGTACCAGACTCCTTGGAAATGAGGCCGAGAACTGGTTTTCCTAACCCGTTTTCTTTATGGAGGTCAATCTGATTTTTGTTAGGGATAAAAGACTACTGAATTTTTCATCTCTTTGCTGCTGAGACTGTTTTGCAATCCTTGAGTAGATATCACTTAAGAAACTGCCTTAATTTCAGGATAGTGAGGTTTAATATGTTGCTGGTTTTCAAGGTTCTGTGGTTATTCTAAGCTTTTAGTATTTACTGCAGCCTTGTAAATAAGTACCAAGCATTCAGTAGCCCACACCTGCATTGCCAGCTACCAGTACCCAAGGAATAAAATGAATGAAATCAGCTTTGTTTTCTACTTGCCTGGCAAAATCATTACTCTTCCTGGGCAAGTAAGCGAGTCACTATTTCCAAGGCTGCCTTATCGGCACTTCACTTCGAGGTGGGAGAAGTTGGAATCGCTCTAGGCTGGTGAAGCCCCTGAAGTAGTCACCTTAGTCAGGTTAGTGAGCAGCTCCCCTCCCCTTTCCTGGGGTTAACTGCCCCCACCCATCCTTCACAGCTTACACAAGGCCACACAGCTTTTTGTTCCAGCCCATCCAGCTCTTTCCCACTGCTTTGGCTTCTACCCTTTCCAGCTTAGCTTCTAATGCCTTGCCCTCTTCAGTTAGCATTTCTGTTTTTGGGGGAGGGTCTATTTGTGGTTGGGAGCAGTGAGGGTAAACAAGTGACCACCACTCTCTTGCCCTGCAGATGCATTTCCCCGGATTGCTCCCATCCGAGCAGCTGAATCCCTGCACAGCCAACCCCCACAGCACCTCCAGTGTCCTCTCTATCGGCCTGACTCGAGCAGCTTTGCAGCCAGCCTTCGAGAGTTGGAGAAGGTAGGTGGTACCTAAGGACTGACAGATCACTTCTCCCATTAGCTAAATTCTGTACCTGGGCACACCTTTATTTATTTGTTTATTTATTTTTAGAGACAGGGTCTTGCTCTGTTGCCCAGGCTAGGGGGTGGTGGCATAATCATAGCTCACTATAGCCTCGAACTCCTGGGCCAAAGGATCCTTCTGCCTCAGCCTCCCAAGTAGCTAGGACTACAGGCACGCACGACCAAGCCCAGCTAAAATTTATTTATATTTTTTGTAGAGATTGGTCTTGCTTTTTCCCAGGCTGGTCTTGAACTCCTAGGCTCAACGTGATCCTCTTGCCTCTGCCTCCCAAAACTCTAGGATTATAGGCATGAGCCACCATACTCAGCCCCTATTTATTGTTTTTAGAGGAAGAATAGTTTACTTTCTTCCATATTTACAGTGACAAGAGCAGTGTGCTACTGCTGTTAATTCCATGAGATATAATACAATTGAATTTGGGGAAAAAATTTTGGACCTGATAAAGGTTGTTGGAGAAATGTTTACAGTCTAAGCTGATTTTGATTAACGGACCCAATTCCCTCTTCTTTTCTTGGTAGGGTCTTTGGTAACATAATTGTAGAATTATTATTCTTTTTTGTTGTTTTTTTGTTGTTGTTGTTGTTGTCTTGTTTTGTTTTTGGGACTGAGTTTCACTCTTGTCGCCCAGGCTGGAGTGCAATGGTGTGATCTTGGCTTACTGCAACCTCTGCCTCCTGGGTTCAAGCAATTCTCCTGCCTCAGCCTCCCAAGTAGCTGGGATTATAGACACCCACCACCATGCCCAGCTAATTACTGTATTTTTAGTAGAGATGGGGTTTCACCATGTTGGCCAGGCTTGTCTCGAACTCCTGACCTCAGGTGAGCCATCTGCCTTGGCCTCCCAAAGTGCTGGGATTACAGGTGTAAACCACTGCACCCAGCCTTTTTTTTTTTTTTTTTTTT